AAAGATACAGAGTGCACAAATTAAATACTAATGGATTTCATATTACCCTTCATGATGGAGTCTTTGTGTAATGTTCTGTTAAATATATGTTTCCTGCTTTTTCTGACTATGAAAAATGAATAACTTGTACATAATGTTTTTGCACAGTGCTGTATATAATACTTTATATGGATCATTCTAAAGATTGGCTCAAAGCGAGTGTTAAAAAAAAAAAATGGTCTTTCGCTTGACCAGCCTTGATAATGTTTATCTTAGTTGTCATGTAAGGATGTGCAGTATGGATTTAAGTGCGAGCAGACTTTAATAACTAAAATAAGCTAACAAAGTACAAAGTAACTAACTACAAGATTTAAACAAAGAAACACAAAGAGCAAACAACACAAGGTAGGGAAAGAACAACTACATAAGACAAAGTGACAAGTAGACCACACAAACACTAACTAAAACAAAGGGCTAGATAAAGGTTACAACAAATGGGGAACACCTGGGGGAGGGAGGAGACAGAAACTACAGACAGGTGAGGATACTAATGGGGAAGGTGGGGAAAGGGCAGAGCACAAGGACCAAAACAAAAACACAAGCACATGGCAGAAAGCACATGGCTACAAAACAAAGCAAGAAACAGACACAGGAACAAGGAGAAACCATGACATCAGTAAACAAATGATTAAACTACCAAAACAATCATAACACTACTGAAAGTTTTAGCTAATTCTGAGCATAACTCAGCCAGTACATAACTAGCAAACACAGCTTTGAACAGTTGCACACACATAAAATCAGAGAAAAAAAATGAACACAACAAAGAAAAGAAAGATGACTTATTTGCAGAAAATATGTGTTTCTGTAGTGACAATTCTGAACGTTACACACTGATTTGCAGACTTTGGGCCATATTTACTTCAAAACAATAGGATCTAACTGCTCACCATGTGGTCATGATGGACAGGGATGCAGTCTCACTTCCCGCTCTAAAATGCAGGGGTGTGGCTAAAATAAGGCTTCATCTACAGACAGAAGTTCTTTGTATTTTGATTGTAAAATGAAAACATGGGACAGAATGATGATAAATCCACATCCTTCAACTTGACTTTAAAATAAATAAAAAAGATCATTTAAAAACCAACATTAAAAAAAAAAATCACCAATAATATATTTTCACAAGTTGAAAATAATTTAAACCATAACATAATCTCTGTAAATATCTAAGGTCTGAATACTTAAATGTTTTTTTAAATACATTTATTTTCTGTGGGACTGCAGTTTGGATTAAGTTGAATGGTCCATGCGTTGTATATATTTGATTTTAAATACAAAATCAATTTCAGAAAGACTTTCCACTGTCTCTCATAGCGAATATGGCTTGCTAGATGTGACATTTAATTGCTTTTTCACTGAGGCAGGCAATCTGCTAACACCATGCATTGATAAAGCACTTGTGTTGTCTCATTTTCATCTCTCTAGCCAGAGGCCAATCAACATTATTAGCATCTGGCATGAACATGCCGTCACGACAGTGATTACTTTGCCCTAAAGCAATCCAGTGTTTACAGCTGAAGTTGGAAGCACTACAATAGTGCTCCACATACGCACAATCCATAAGCTACTGCATGTTTCACTGGTTCGCTATATTGCCTTGCTGAGCGGATTAGATAGACAGATAACAGGCTTTATGTGGAAAAGCTCTTGCGTAGAACAACATGTCATATCTACGAGGTTTAGACAGTGACGCACAAGCTGGAACGTTTTGTAAGTTCTTTTGGCTAAAAGTGAATGACTTTAGCTACATACAATGAATGTCAAACATAGTAACTGCATAAGCAATCTGGAAAAACTGTAAGATTGAATCAGGCAGCGGAAATGTCTTCTACCCTCTATTTCAGTCTCCAACACCTCATTTAGGAATTACACACACATTCACACGTCTTTGTTTTTTTCTTTCTCACTATAATGCTCTCTCGCTCGCTGTATGTGCGTGTGTTTACTGTGAGAGCTGAGGGATTCCTCGTCCTGAGAGACTTATTACAGAGAGATGATGATGTAACTCCGTGCGTGACTCATTCGTCTCAAAGCGTCTGAGCTCAGCTGCACGTCAGCTGTAACCAGGGGAAGACTAACTAACATTACTTATGTAGGTCGCATTAAAAACACATGCGGCTCAAGCAGACGCTTTCCACACAAGCGCTTCAGTCAGGGACGTGCAGGTCCACCATGCTTCTGAAGAGAGCCTACAGTCATTTTAGAGTTACGCACAATCATCCACTATATGAACGAGCTGTTTGGAGCAAATTATACAAACTGCCCAATAACAACAACAATGATTAAGGTTTGCATGAGTAAATGTGTGTGTGATTCCGTATTTACCTCTTTCTGGGTGTCAAATATCATCTGGACTATGAGAAAACATGAGCACTTTAACACTGTGTGAACACTTTGCTGGTTCTCAATTAAAAATGCTTTTACTAAACAATACAGAATTTAAATGAGTGAAACAGAATTCCTTTTCGGATGCTGAGATTATTGTTAGAGCTAAATTAAATGAAGCACAAACGCATTTACAGTCCACTCACAAAAATAAATTGTTTGCAGGGGGGCATTTCCATAATGTACGCATTTTTGTGGACAGGATTTTTTATACTATTTTTAACAAGAGAGATATGCTTTGCTCGCTATTTTTGTTCACTGGACACTTGTCTTGTGCACTCCAGACACACTTTAGTTGAAAATGACAAACAAGCAAACATCTTGGTCGTTTTGAAGGAGGAATACGTGGCTGTAGTCCTTCACAGATCGAAATCATGGCATAAACAAAAAGCAGTGAGTAGTCCATATTTTGCTTTTGTGCATAGCTAAACTACAGTGATCAGCACAGCAGTGCTGCTGGAGTTTTTAACACCTGTGTCACTGCTGGACTAAGAATAGTCCACCAACCAAAAATATCCAGCCAACAGTGTCCTGTGGGCAGCGTCCTGAGACCACTGATGAAGGACTAGAGGATGACCAACACAAACTGTGCAGCAGATGAGCTATCATCTCTGACTTTACGTCTACAAGGTGGACCAACAACAAAGGGGTGTCTAATAGAGTGGATAGTCAGTGGACACAGTTTTTAAAAACTCCAGTAGCACTGCTGTGTCTGATCCACTCATACCAGCACAACACACACTAACACACCACCACCACGTCAGTGTTACTGCAGTGCTGAGAATGATCCAAATAATGTGGTGGTCCTGTGGGGGTCCTGATAATTGAAGAACAGGGTAAAAGGGGGCTAACATAGTATGCAGAGAAACAGATGGTCTACAGTCTGTAATTGTAGAACTACAAAGTGCACCTGTATGGTAAATGAAGCTGATAAAATGGACAATGAGAGTAGATACAAGTTGGTGGTATTAACGTTTTGAACTGTTACAAAACTAACCCTGCAATATACAACAAAATGTAGGGCGATTAAAAATGTTAACATACTGTTAATGTGGGTCCTGGGCCTGGGCCAGATACATAGCAGTTATAGTGGGATTTTATATCTTTGAGTGACAAGTGCAATATATTACTGCCACTCGGCCTGTTATGGAGTTTTGTTTTGGATGGAAAAAGCAACAGCTTCATCATTTTACACTATCTAGCTATGAACTTACAGAAACAAAGACTCCTTTAAAGCAACCCACACATATCAAGTCTTAAATAAAAATAAATAGTTACAGTATTAGTGAATACTAAATACTCAGTCATACAGTCCCATGATGCATCAGATTGAAAATTTCTGTCCAGAACTGAAAGCGGAAATCAGGACATACTGGGCCAAAATGTTTCTTTTATGTGTGTGTTTGTTAAATTTGGAAAAAAAAAAATCATGAAGACGATCATGAAGAAGTAGGACAAAGTGAACTGACAATGAATAAAAACATGTCTATTTCTAAACCGCTTATCCTTCTGGGTCACGGGGAAGCCTATCCCAGTGGTCATTGGGCAGAAGGCAGTATATACCCTGGACAGGTTGCCAGTCCATCACAGGTAAATAAAAACAGTTAACATAAAATTATCCTTCTAAAATCACTGCTGTACAGAGTGTACCCAATGTCCTTGACCACAGAAAACAGTTGGTCATCCAAAGCAATGAATTTCATTATTTAGTTATGTTTCGCACTTTGGCACCATCATTTGTGAATTAAAAAAACTGAAGCCACAGGACTTCCTTTATTTTGCATATTAAGCAGGATGGGATATTGTGTTCTGAAATAGTATTAAACTCGTAATGGAGAAGTTCTCATGTGTTGTACATCCTCTTGATACTCGACATGAACAGAGATCACAAATTGCTTGTCTAAATAGCTCCACACAGCCAAAATTTTCACTGTTGATCTCCTGTTTCTCAAACTGTTTGAACAGGTCTGCACTGACCAGTGCAGGAGAGTGATGAGAACAAACAGCATTTGTAACCACTATTTCTCATTTTCATTAGCATATAAATATTTGTTAAGTGAATTTTAAACTTTGTTGTAGACCTATTTAATTTATTAATTTTTTCAGCCAATATTTTTGGCCTTATTTCTCTTGGCCCAAAACCAAAAAGTGCCTCAATTTTTTTCAGTGGCTGAAATTTCAGTGCTTTGCTACTGTTAATAATAGCAACGTATTAATAAAACAGTGGGGTTCAGCAGTTAGGCTTTCACTTCCCCTCTGTTCAGCACTGTATTGTTGTGGCCTGGTACAAAACGACCCACAGCCCATTATCAGTGTGCAGCATGGTGGCTGGGACACTCTGCTATGAAAAAACCACTTTTGGTTCTCTACTGAAACATTTTTAAAATGATGTACAAGTATGAAGACAGTTAAAAGAACCACTATATAATGTAAAGGTTCTATACCAATTAAAGGGTTCTGTTAGAACATCCAAGTCAAGAACCATTTAGAAACACAGATCTTTAAATAAAATGCAAAGTCAATCAAAAATATCCTACACAGACAAAAACGTGTGTGTGTGAGCCTCAGTAGCTTACGGTATGCTGGTCTGCATGGATCACTGCGAGTGCTGTCAGTGGAGTGGTTGCTGGAGACGGAGGACACGCTGGAGCTGCGGACAAAGCCGAAGGCAGCGAGGCGTGCTGGGGGCAGTCTGGAGTAGCCAGGGGGCCGCAGACCTGATGAAGCTGGCTTAGGCAGCAGAGACTTAACAGCCAAACTTGAAGCTGTTGCCTTCCTCTGGTCTGAAAGAGGGAAAGAGAAGGGTTTAAGTAAACTAAGCCAAAGAATGTCTAGTAAACAGTTCTTGACCAGCTTTCATTTACAGCCATGATCACCATCCTTCCTCCTGGAGAATGTCCCACCCCGCAGGGATCTAACAAAGGATTTTAAAAGGTAATCAGTAGCCTGTTTATGCAGAAGGTGTAACAGAGCAAAGAACATATTCAACATGAAAATTATTGTTAAGGTTTTGACTTCAGTTCATATCGTATAGCCTACATTGCAGTAAGATTTACAAAACCAAATTAAGCCAGTATACAATGATCCTGCATACAGAATGAACAACAAAAAAGGTGTATGTTATTTTTTGATTGAACATGAACATTTGATGGTAAAATCTGCATTTCTGTCATCTTGAAATTAAGTTTCTCAGGTCTTGTAGGCTGTAAACAAGCAACATCCTTTCTGTTATGACATTCTAGTCAGAGGAGACACAATAAAGTCTCAGATTTTGTCAGGCTCAGACAGAATTCAGACACTCACAAACCACACTTAGGTAAAAAGGGTTTATTGACAAAGGGAGTATCCAAAATCAAAGTCAGCCAGTCCAAGGTAAAAAACCAATACACCAAAACAGTAACCATGAGGAGAGTCCAAAAGGCAATGTCCAAAAACCGGAAACAGGGTCAAACCAGAAATCACAACAATACTGAGAGGACAAGGCAAAAGGCAAGGTTGAAGAAATCAAAGCAAGGTTCACACACAAAACAGCAGCCAGACAAATGACAGGCTCAGTAAGGCCCTGAATACAAAGGCAACACTTCACAATGTGCTAAGCTAAAGCCCAGGCTTATATACTAAACTAACAGGTAACCATAACAAGGAACAGGTGTGAGTGATCAGTAGTCAGCTGAGGCAGAACGTTGGAGAATCATGTGAGGAATGTTGGTGGTCATGTGATCGGGAGTGGGGTTCTGGGTAATGGAGTCCAGAGGCAGAGACAGTGGGAACAGAGGGAAGCATGACAAATTTCACATAATGATAGAACTCTTAGTACTTTTAGAAGCAGATGTGCAGCTTTTGGTTATATTGTTGCTAATCTCTGAATGCAAATCTTATTTTTACGAAGTGATTAAACCACCTAAGGGTCCACATAAACAGGCTACTTGGTTCAGGTGTGATAGACTAGGGTCAGCACTAAGCACAGCAGAAATGTGACAGTACACACATCATATAATAGAGCAGATCGGACACCCATGTCTTAAATGCTGCACAAAGAAATTTTCCCATCTATTTCTTCTGCCATCGTGTAACACAAATGGAACCATAAGAATACAGCCTATTGTTTGGTCTTCTGTTGGCTAACCAATGCATAGGATGAAGATGCATATTTAGATGCTTTTTGAAACTAACTGTAATTTAGAAGTAAAGGCTTTATACATCCACCATAATGCAGCCTAACACTGCCTATGTGCCTACACACAGACTATATCAACCCAAACACTATCGTACTAAATAGTTTGTTCAAAATAGCAACGGCAACGTTGATTGCGTACTAATTTCACATGCTGTTTAGTGAAGTATATGTGGTTTCAGATGCAGCTGCAGAACACACTCGCCACACAACTAAAAATCTCTGCACGTCCATCTCAGTGCGAGCCTGTGAGAGTGAGCAATTGAGACTGAGAGAAAGAAAGAGAGAGAGAGAGAGAGAGAGAGGGAGAGAGAGACAGAGAGAAGCGTAATGACAGGACTTAATACTTCAATTGATGGAATGCATTGAGAGTGAGACTCAACCTGATGTTTTAATGCCTGCTCAAGAGTACCAACCGGACAACGGACCTCAAAACCGGACACCTGGCAACCGTACACTTAGCTCGTTAACTAAGTAGAATTAGCAGATACAAATGAACAGCCCAACTCCAGGGCAGTGTAATGTTACTTTAAGTATGTTATTTAGACTATCGATGCTAAACATTGGGATAAAATATGACCTATTATACGCACTATTAAACGAGTGTGCACGCTTGACGTTTCCAGTGTACACATCCTGAAGGCTTTGCAACATGCGTCGATACTACATTTGATCACTTGCTGTTAGTACATGGAGTTAGTGCAGTTGTTTGTATGTTGGCTGCATAAGCTTTTATTGGTCTCATCTTGGTTACTGTAAAAAAATGTTATTAAATAAATCACAAATGACAGAATGACAAATGGCTCACATAAGCTGTTACATACACAGCAGCATCACTGCGCTTGTGTTACATTACCTTTCAACAAAAACTGTAAGTAATTTTTTATTAGGATGCATTGCAGCCATGATTTCGGTTAGAGCCAGTTCAGCTTTAATTCTGGCATGCAGCTGAGCAGTGAAGAGCCTCTGTGCACACACAGTCCTGCTCTGCAGCTCCTTAACTGCTTATTCCAGCATGAATTATTCAAATATCAGCATTTACTAATAGCACAATTTCATAGAACAATATATGATGCCTCCCACACCCATCAGTGCTGCTTTTCCCTACAGAAGCTATAACACTGTTTATATGCCCTAAGTGATTCAGATACAGCAGTGTCAAGGTTGGTCTTGTCTACAGTTTAGACTCCAGCAGAAATGAAGTTTTCTACATGTAAGATTTGCTTTGTCCTGTTATAGTCGGTGTGTGTTGGAATGGGCTTTTACTCAATGTACAATGATAATCACAGTGATTATGATATAAAGAGAAAAAAATTGCTTAAGTTTTAGCCTCCCCTCACCTCCTCTACTCTCTTTTACTGTCTCTCTCTCTTTCTCTCTTTAAAGAGCCAATATGATGGAAAACTGAATTACACTCAGTTTTTAAGATAAAGAATAAAGATTTTGAAGTAACATGTAAACACTACTAACGCTCCAAAAAGTGTCATTCACTTGTAAGTCCACACAGTCCATACACAGAAACTACCCCAAAACAGCTCGTCTTGAATGCACTGTTTCTGTGACATCATGACAACCAACTCATTTAAATATCTATACCTATTCAGTCCACAGTAGTCCAGTTACACTGAAGCTATAAGGAATGTTCTAGCCTGGATTGGTTTTTGAATCAGGCACAACACAGGACAGCCAATAAGAACAGAGCTGATCTACATATATCAGTCTTAAAGGTGCAGCAATAAAAAGAGGTTGGATAATAGCCAAGTAAAAATGAAATATGATTTTTGGCAAAGTAAACCACACATTTGTTACAAGTGAACCTCAAAGGAAAACATAAAATGCAAGAAAACTGTAGGATTTGGGCCTTTTAACACACAGAAATTGTAGTTTTCGTATGTGATACAACCATGGTTTAATTCTATATGAATAATTTTTCACTCGTATCTCATTGAAACAAGTGGAGAACTTCTGCTGAGGCACCGTAAACTCAACAAGCAAGCATCTAATCACACTAATATGAAGAAGAGAGAGCAGCCTCACAGACATGATCTTTATCCGGAAACAGCTCTGCTGGCTTTACATTTTATTACATTTTATGTGCAAAGATTTCATTTTGAGGCAGCTGTTTTTGAACTGTATAGTATTTGTTGCTCATCAATTTAATGCAGCATAACTGGCTGTATCATGTTCAAAGTCAGGGACAACGTCAGGTCTTTTGAGTGATGTTTATTATGATAGGCTATTTCATTAAAAATAAAGCACTGAAAGAATTTTTTTTTCTCATGTACTTACCAGGTGTTACAGATCTGTAAGGGGTTTTAGAGAGTAACTTTTTGACTCTAATGCTGCTTGGACCACTGGATGTACTGATGCAGTAAGAACCTGCTTTTGTTTAAACCGAGAGGCTGACTTGATGACTTAGTTTCTTAACTACAACTAGACTGATCAGCTAGCTAATGGGCTAAAAGACAGCTAATAGGTTGAACAGCTCTTCCACTAATATCATAGGCTTTGAATGAAAGTACTTACAATATGAGTCACTGTAAATCTGCAATCTAAAAAAGTAAGAATATCACTTGAGTGTCTTAAACACCTCTGTCCATGTTCTAGTTAGATCTGCCTTAAATAGCATCAAATCCAGGCTGATTCTCAAACAGCTTCCTGCTCCCTATATAGTGTTCTATGTAATTTATGAAATTCAGGCTTCTACGTCCATACAGTGTACTTTGTTTGTCAAGTGTGGAACAGTGCACACATGGCTGAATCCCAAATGACTATTTATTGGAGCAAGAATTTTAATATGAAGTGGGGAGCCATTTGAAATTGAGCCCCAGTGTGGGAAAAAGGACGTATAACATTAACACTCAGTGGTAAATGCAAATGGAAATTAGCATTGTTGTTGTGGTGGTCATTTGGTGAGCAAAAAACACTAATAAAGTGAATGTTTTACATTAAATAGTGTTATATTATGATATGTTTATTCTCATATGACAAAAAGTTAAAAGGTTCATGAAATTACTAATATACAATGATTCCCATCCTCTTTCAGCAGTCCTTTGTTATTTAACAACAATAATACAAGGAACTATATTTCTTAGTGGAACAACTGTTTATCTAGATTATTATTAAAACAACTCAAATGATTTAATAAAACGATGTGTATTTCATCATAATTTTGGTTGTTTCTTATAAAAGGCTGTGTGTTTTTTGATGTACGTTATAGTGATTTCATCAAAGGGAAATGGGTTTTATTCTTCTTTGCATCCTTTACCCATGTTAAAAACACTAATGCACATCCTCTCATGGTTTACTGCTCTAATTTTGTAATAAGATGTGTTTTTGAAAATAACATTTTCATATACTATAGCAAAATAAAGTTAAGAACTCCACTTCTAACGGTTAAACACTCAACCCTCTGGACCTCCAGCTCTATGACTTCACTGCAGGCTGTCTATGGGAGCCAGCATGACAGCAGCCTTCAAGCTTAAAAAACTTCTTCTCATAAAATTCTCCTCAGTGTGAGTAAGTGAGAGACACCTAACTTAACGCCTGGCCCTCTCGCCCTCTCTCTGGACAACCGATGGCGAGAACACAGCACGGAGCTGCATGGAAAGCAGGAGAATCAGTGAAGCGGATCTGGACACATATAGGCATGCACCACAGCCGGTGGGGGTAAATTTAGGGGCCCACCCTGGCCCTGCATGAGGCAATGATTTGGGGCAGCTGGAGATAAAGCACCTCTGCTTCACCTCCCCACAGGCCACAACATTTGAGCACTGCTGAATGCATTCTGAATGAGCATCAGAAAAAGGACAGAATTCACTTTCTCTCCTCTCTCTGCCTCTCCCTCTATCTATCTATTCCTCTCTCTGTCCCTTTCTGTCATTCTTCATCTATATTCTGCATTCTACTTTCACATATCAAAGATTTTGATCTTTTTACCTATTAAAGAGCCCATGACCTACATTTTTTGGTATTAAATTTTTCCCCTTGATGTCCAGCTATGACATAATTTTTACATGACCATTTTCCAGCCTCTCTTTATCCCATAGAATTGGACAGGATGTGTAGTGTGCCTTTAAGACTGACAAATGTAAATGACCTCTGTTCTGATTGGTGGCCCTGTGTTGTGCCTCATTCAAAAAGCAGACCAGGCTGAAAAACTGCTTATAACTTCAGTGTGCATGGGCGGAGCTAAACTGCTGTAGGCAGAATAGTTAAAGTAAAAATAACAAATTCAACACAAGCTCTTTTTATAGCTTAGTTTCCACATACTTTGCCATATATGTATGTTTTAAAACTTATATATTAATGATTACATTAAAAATGTAATAAATGATGAGAATTTAGTTTTCCACAACACTTTAATATCGTCATGCTCCTACTATTACCATTTCTAAAATGGAAAGGAATACTTTCTATCATTACTGTTCTACAAAATTTCATTTTTACATCTACATAAGCATGATACATCAGTGATACTGACTGAAAAAACTGAGAATTAAGTTCAACAAACAAACACAACTAAAAACATTTAGTACAGTATTTTAATAGCACTGTAACTTTACAGGAGAGGGCATTAACATTCTTTACTTATAATGAAAGACACTGTAAAAAGATTTTATCCCAAGCAGTTCCAAGGAGCATTTCTATTAGTCCATTTGTTAAGAATTTTCAAACAATCTATAGGGCAGATGCTGTACTTAAATGATATAGAAAAATAAAAATAGAAAAAATGGAGATACAGCAAAAATATAATATTTATATAGTTTTTTTTTATATTTTTACATTATAGGTTAATTTTTATGTTTTAGTTATTTTAATCATTATCCCCCTTTTTCTGTTTTAATGATCTTATGTTTATCTTCAAACGTTTTATGACATGCACTGTTTTATTGTTTTATTTGCAAAAATAAAGCACTGAAGCACTTTAAGCTGCATTTTTATGTATTAAAGGTGATATATAAATAAAGATGTTATTATTAATCTTTCTTTTTTGTTTGAGAGATGGATGGTGAAGACATAAACACACACACACACACACACACACACACACACACACACACACACACAGGGCCATCAGGGTCTTTAATGAAATTGCAGCCAGTTTTCTCCTTGGAGCGGGGGCTGTGATCATTAAAGATAAATGTGCTCCAGCCTCCTTCCCCCATCTCTCTCTGTCTCTCTCTCTCTCTGTCTGTCTCTCTCTCTCTCTCTTTCTCTCTCTCTCTCCCAGCAGACTAGAGAAGAGATTGATGTCTCATAAACATTCATTTCCAGTTCTCGTGTCACAGGCCTCTGCCATCCTAAATGAACACACAAATGATTCATATGCCATTGCTCTTATTTTCGTTTTTGTCTCTCTTTGCAGAGCTGCGGATTTAGAGACTTTAAGCTGGGGGCAATAGTTTTTTCAGTCATTTCCTGGAGCCTACAATAAATGGGGTACCGGGGGAGTCACACTACGTGTGAGTATGTAAGTGAGAGAGCGAGAGAGAGAGAGAGAGAGAAAGGGAGAGAGAGAGAGAGAGAATAAGACGGAGAGAGAGAGAAATGCTTTTTTAATTACGGACTGAAGCTAAGGAATTCATTGATTTGTCACTGAGCGTTAAATTGCATGAATATATTATTTTACAGCTGCAGTTTCCCTGCCGCAATGATCATTGCGATCAGACAAATACGATCATTTTAATGAAAAGAGAAATACTGATACATAAGGTTAGTTTTTTGTGTGAGGGATGAATAATGCAAGAATAAACAACTGTACATAATTAGCACTCAATATATGTACTATGCTGATAGCAATATTATCACAATAATAAAAGGGGAAATACTGATTTAAAGCTTTGTTGATAAAAACATAGAGGGAAGATTCTGAATAATGCAGAAAATAGACACAATGAACAGCCAGCATTCAATATATTCAATATAATATACTCACTATATATGTACTATGCTCTTAGCATCATTTACAGCAATTCCAGTGCAGCTCAAGTGTAACAGGTTCATGATTTAAATACTGAATCAGCTGCAATTAATTAAAAAAAATAATGTGGCCAATCATGAACTGAACTTAGTTTCCTTAAGCTTGAACTGCTTCCCTCTGTTTATTCTAAAGCCATATGTCAGCTTGTTCATAAAGCCTGAACGTTTAAAATTCCAACACCTTTCTGATCTCCTTCGGAAAAAACTTTTCTGACAGAGTGTATCACAATAACCAGGCTGCAGGTTTATATTAGAGTGAGGGAAGACGTTACTTGAAGACATTATAGCCTTGTTCACACTCAGTATTAACATCTGATCAATGTGATCCAGTCATGATGATCATATAGTCATCCAATCCAAAAACAGCACATTTACACTAGCCCTTTTCAAACATAGCTTCTGCATTCAGGATCTAATTTCCCTGAACAATATTTAAACGTTTAAATTGAGAACAGCATCAGAGCACAGCAGGTGGAGCTTATATAGTGTATGCTGTGTTTAACACTTTAAAAACATTTTGCAATGGTGCTTCAAAGCATTTCAGACATTTGAAGTTCCAGAGAAACTAAGGAAAGAGAAATAAACTATTTAATTAGGAACAGGGCAACAATCAAACATAAAAAGTAAAAAGATGTTAATAAAATAAGACGATGTCATAATTGCTGATATCCAATCAGTTACTTGTTAAATCGCACTCTCACAGTGCCAGGTGTGATCTGGGGACAACCATAAGAAATTCTTGGCTAAACATGGACGGGAATATTAGGGTGGGTACAAATTTCTAAAGCAATTAAGCACCTCTTGAACGCGAAGCTTAAAGTAGGGGGCAATGCCTGCCTGTCATTAGCCCAAAGTAATGTAAGCTTGCTCAGCCAAGGCGCTGCAGAAAATCTCCCAAAAAGCATAAAGATTTGTGTCACAAATGCGTAGAATACATTAAATGCAGTAAAAATAAACATTACATCTTGCAAGAGAAAATAGTTCCATTAGCTAATGACTGCATTTTTGGTTTGTGTTATTGACTGCGCTTAAAAAAGCACAGATTAGAGGAACTTAGGGATCATTTTTAGAGGAGCCGTACACTTGCACCAAAATTTAACAAGTTGTCCCATGATGTGCGATGTTCTTTTGATGATAAATGCAGTTGTCCTGTGTAATGATACTGATAATATACTCAGAAAACTGTATTGTGATGTAATGTATCGCAATAACTACAAAATATTATATCGCCCATGTAAGGCTTTTTCCTCCTCATATTACTTCCAAATGCTACCGTGTCACATTACCAGAGTATGACCTCTCTGGCATGATCCAATATACTGGACGGTCTCATTGACTACTGTGTATCAGCACATTAACATGGAAAATAATCTTAGCATATGCATCACTATGCATGTTAATGTGTGCTGTGCCACTGTGGAGTGAAAGAGCAGGCCAAACGGGCAAATACTGCCTGGCAGGCAAACACTGACGTTGCTTAAGCATTAATTGCTTTGCACTTCAAAGCTTAGCAGTGCCTCTGAGCCAAAGAGCATGAGAGCCCCATCTATATGCCACCACGTGCATTCTGGTGAGGGCATAACATGATAATGATGATATGCAGATACGAACATTTGCCCCACTGTGTGAAAACGGCTGGTAGAAATGGTGAAGGTGGCTGTGGTGTGCCATTAACTCTCAGCATGCTTGAAATAATTCACAGTATCACCTTGCCGATATGCAGGCAAAATCATCAGTGCCGTGTGGTGCCTCAAGTTGAGGATTCAGTTGAATCCTGTCATGGGTAATAGCCCATCTGAGCATATTTCTTCCTCTAGCAACTTAATATTAATGCATCTTACAGCTACATACACCCAATCTGTTTCTGTGCCATCAGTTCCCTCTCTACCCAATTTTTCCTCTCTCTCCTCAACCCTCCCCCTCCATATTTCTCTCCGACTTTTTCCACATCCTCCCATTTCTTCTGCCGTCTCTCAGGAGTAGACACAATTCTTTGGAGAAGATTCAAACACCTCCATGTTAGATCAGTTCAAAAGTCATTTCCAATTAATTTCCCTATCGTTTTCTCATTTGCAGCTAAATCCTTATTTGGTGCATTGCAGTGGAATTGCAAAGGCATTACCTGAAGGCTCTGGAGGGCTTTGAGTAGATGGGGTCCCTGATGGGGTCACTGATGAGGTCGTTGGGGGGGTCACTGGTGCAGTCACTGACGGGGTCACTGCCTGCACTGGTTGATTAAGAGCCAGAGGTGACTTCTGCCCTGTGAAGATTCTGCTCTTAGCAGCAGTGGATGGAGCCCTATTGACAGCACCCAGACCAAGCTGCGGTCTCAGGGTTCGAGCTGGCCGGAAAATAGCCCCTGTCTCCTGAGTTGCTATCTGGGTTTCCGAAGGAACCTCGGCTCCACAAGCAGGGGGCCCAAGGGTGGCTGGAGACCTGCCAATCTAAAATGAGAGGAAAGATGTAGATTAAGTGTTTTAAAATGAACTTTGTTTAGCTCAAAATCCTAGAACATAAGCAGTCCAGAAAATCTGTCAGAACATTGTCATACTATCTATATCCTGAAGCTCTCTAAAAGTCTCTTAAACAGTAAAAATACTTTTGTAAGACAGTTGAAATATGAAAACATTAGCAGACAGTTTAGAACATTCAAGCATCACCTTTTTGCACCTGATTACTATTACTCTGAGATGGACCCATTAAAAAATAGTTCAGCAAAAAATTTAATTTGTAACAAACACTGGAAGTCAATAGTCACCCAAATCCTTTCTGTAATACATCCACAACACTTCTCTCAATCTGCATCCAGCTCTTCATTAAGGTTCTGCAGAATGGCCGATGTGGTCTACGACACAGTATGACACTGTAAACCATAAAAATAACAAAACTTCACCATGTAGCTAATAGCTGCAGGCAACAGGTGCTGTGCCAAATTCTGACTCCCCTTCACGTGTAATGTGGTCATGCAGGCATAAGGACGTCACAGATTATGTTTGTAATTTATGTCATTTCTATTTATAAATAACTGTTAATCTTTATTTCTCAAATGGATGAAATGTGTTTTTAAAAAAGACACAAAAGAAAATGCAAATGTAATCAAATCTCTATATGCCTGTGTGATGGATTCTGTGGGGGAGTCGGAACACCTGTTACCTAAAATGCCCATAGTGTTCAGATACATGGTGAAATTTTATTCATTTTTATAGGTCACAGTAAGTCATACTGTGTCCTAAACCACTTTGACAAGTCTGTGCGTCCTTAATAAAGTTAATGAAATTTGAGTAGCTTGAGCGAAGTTTTGGGGATGTATTAACAGAAAAGTTAATAGAGCCACTATTGGATTCTATTGTTTGTTAGCAAAATTAGTCTCATAGCTCAAGCACTACCGTACAAAGCAAAATTTGGACAATACACCTTTCCTGATTGAGTACTGTGGTAAGGGGAAATTTGTGTAAGCATTGTGTAATCATTCGTAATTCATTTTCTCAAAGTAACATGTCCCCAACCCAATTCTATTCCAGGTCAGTCAGTCACTTACTTGACCTTAAGTGTTTACTTTCAGCAAAATGAAAATCAGTGACATCCAAATCATAAAAAATGAATTTGGACAGAAGCCTACTAACACCATAACATTCCACATCGTATGGTGTGTAAAACTTCTATATTCCATTAAATTTGGTTCATACAAATGCAGTAATCACAGAATCAGTATATAATTACTTCCCCTGCATTCCAAGATGAATGAACTGTAATACTAATGTGTGAGTTGCTCACCCCTGTAGGAGGGTACTTGCTGCTCAGAGAGCCATAGAAGCTATGTGTTCTGCCCGTGGCTTTTTGGGGCATTGTGTGGCTGGGAGGCTTTATCCCCGACACCATCAACCCAGGAGATAAGAGCCGGGCCTTCTGCAACTCCTGTCGATACTTGTCGTACAGCAGATTAGAGGCACTCAGCACTGGAGCTCCAGCTGACTCCCCTGATGCTGCTGGTTTGGGGTTTGGAGAAGAGGTGCAGGCTGAGAGTCTGGTAGGTAGTGAGGAGACTTCGTAGGGGGCTTCTAGGGCCTGTGGCTTCACCTGTGGGCTTTTGCGTATATAAGTGATGATTTTGGGGCGAACACTTTTGGGCTTTGGGGGGCACTTGGGTGGAGAAGTCGTCTCAGTAGAGCCCTGCTGGGGTACAGTGTTTTGGACACTTGTGTTGATGGTGGTTTTGACTGGAGGTCTTAGGCCAGAGCTGTACCCTTGAGAAGCACCATAGCCTAGTTGAGGAGCTCGAGCGGGCACTCGGGTCCTCACAGGTGACATTGGAGGGCGTCTCTGAGGAGATCCTGTGGTCTTGGGAGAAGGGGGAGTAGAGGGTCTGGTAGGGCTGCTGTAGGCTCTGCGGTTGAAGTGGTTCTTCCTGTCCAGGGGGCTGGCAGCATGCTCCGCAGACCCTTGCCTCCTGAGAATGGAGCCAGACTTGGTACCGGTCTGGCTGGGTTGGATCCCTGAGCCTGAGCTGAGAAACTGAACATTGCTGTTGATCTCTGCTGGCTCTTTGGGGTCAATAGGATGGCTGCTGGCTTTTGGACCTGTGCTGTCTGAGGAGCGGAATGGACGCTGTTCTCGCATGGCCTCTGTATGTCCTAAATGTCCTGAGGTTACCCTTTGCTCCGTCTCGGGAGAGAGCGGACGTACAAGCTGCCTGCGAGAGGGTGGTACTCTTTCAAGGTTTCTCTGGAATTTTGAGGAAAGACCATTCTCTTGCCTACTTTGTTCCTTGTCTGCACTTCGGCCTTGCTGGTCTGCCGGATAGTTGCCATTCTCTGTACTTGATCTATGAGGTTCCTGAGCAATTGTTGTGGAATTGTGGTTCTGGTCCATAACCCTGGGCTGCTCCCTGCTTCGTGTCATAAAGATTAGGGACTGCTGTGTGGCTTGCTGCTGGATCCTGCACTTGTCTGAGGTAGGCTTGCTGGGCAAGGAAGAGGGAGGATGTGTGCGTCCTGCGCTATCAAGGGCACTGGCCAAGCTTCCGCTGAGGCTGCTGACTGCTGAGAGGGTGGAGACGAAGACATTGTTCTCTGAGCCGCTGCGTGCCTCTCTCAGGCTCCTCTGTCTCCCAGACCGAGAGACGGAGGTCCTGAGGTCCAAAGGCTGAGCAGTTTGATCTACATCCATCTCTCTACTGTGGTTGGCGTTTTGGTCTGTCCTTGGAGAGTCACTGGCAGAACCAGGGGATACAAGAGCAGACTGCCTCTGACAATTTTTCTTTGCTCTTTCTTTGCCTGTATCTCCCTGTCCTCCCTGTTCTCCTTCCTTCAAAAATTCTTCCAGCTCCTGACACTCTAATAATTCAAACTCCTCCAAATCCGGGTCCTCACTGTGGGCATGTGTGCCCCAAATTATAATCCTCTCCTGGGCACTGCTGTGGGACAGCAGGGGGGGTACTGGACTGTCACCCTCAGTGTGGCTTTCTTCCATGGTGATTTGGTTGGCATTGGCATCTCCGTCAGGAGGGAGAAAAGGCTGCTTGTTGTTGTTCTTTATTTCCTCGTGCAGGCCATCTTGCAGGTCCCCTACCTCCTCTTGCACACTCATGTTGTATAAATCCAAGGTTCTCTCTTACCAGTTCCCCAGCACTGCTGGATCCATTAAAGGGCTCTTTCCCCTCTGACCCTGCGGGGCTTTCTGTACAGCCGTGGAGCGAAACCCTAAAATCTAATCTCACATCTTTTCTTTCCTGGGAGTGAGCTGTAAGTTCTTTTCTCTTCTCAGCTGGACATTGTCCTTGATGACATCATATTAGCAGAAAAAGCCTTAATCAGGAGCTTCACCAATCCCAGTGCCTAACCGTGCCTGAAAGGAGACAAATAAAATTAGAAACAAAGGACATTCATACACTCCACACAGTGCAGCGGGAAACTATTCACAAACACAGCAGAAGCAGAAGAAGCTTACTGAGCTTTATCCTTGAGGGTTTACTTAATCTCTATCAAGAAGATAAGGATCTAAATGCCAGCAATAGACATTTCAGAAGGAAAGAAAAATCCCTGTTTGGGTTCTTGGACAGTTTTCTTGTTTACTGCTATCATCAAAACCTTGTCTAAACCAGTCTTGGTGCCTTTTTAGAAGCATTACACAGAATACTAAAGTCACTGCTTGACTATTGGCTACCAAACAACTGTGCAGCGTGGTTGCTGTGTGGATAATACATAGCATCATGTGACAAATATGGTTTAAAATGGGACACAGATTAAGTCTTTGTAAAATGTCAGTCTAGAATATTAATCTATGTCTTAAATAACAGTTATTGGTGTTATTGAGTTATGCAGCATGGAAGAAAGTCTGTGGTGTTATCGCCCTGAAGAAAAACAATGGAAAAAAGCACTACTAAACCAAATGATAGCATTTAGCTTGTCCTTCAATAGGTTATTTTTCCAGACTACCTTGTTGGTTTCATGGAATTGGCTCTCGTAATGGAATCTGATTTTCACATTTTAATCCAGTTTAGGCCTCCTAGTTAGGTTGGCCCTGGCTATATATTTCATTTCTTTCATTCAGGTCCTTGCAGGCGAAGTATATTGGATATGGGGAGGTCAACTGGGTCTACAGTTATGATATCAATGTATTTTGCAAAGAATGAAAGATGATTAAGAGCCTGTAGGTTTTCATTAGAGGATTCTAAGGTTTTATATATATCCAATTGATTCTATTTTTTAGAGTCTGTGAAATGAAAGTGAGGGCAAGGAGCTTTGAAATTAAATAGCTTTCCAATCCACAGAAGCTTTTGGCTTCCTCACTTAATAACAGATGGCGGTGTCTCCTAATTCAGTAATTAAATTTTCAGATATCCACGACAGTTATATGGCAGAACGGGGAAAGCAATTATAATAAATGAAGATTGATGAACTGCATAGTAGCATCTGAGGGTAAAATTTGTAGATGGAACATTTCCTTGTGTGCCGAGATCTCCCTGTGGGCTTAGAGTGGGACAGAAAGAGGAACAGCAAAGAAAGGCAAATAACAGCGAGAAAGGCTTTGTGATAGAGCTCACTGCTCACAGGGGGAAAACAGCAGACAGCAGCGGGGGTGGTGGTGGGGTTAGGAAGGTACGAAGAACGAAAGAAAAAGAAAAAACATTAATCAAAATAGATTTTAAACCATGATAAAACTTAGACTGACACCAAATGCTGGGCTCCAATCACAATATGGACTAGCTAGAGCATGTAGAATGCAAAATATAGTTCATGTAGAGAAGACAGGAACACAAAGCAAGGACAGTAACATTTTCCCTGCAGGGGGCTTATACCATGTGCTGGTCATGCTGACAGTGTGGGTGGGCTGAAGCTTAGGTGGGTTATAAGCGAACACAGCATGGAACAGATTTGTAAGCTGTGCAGAGAAAACGAATGATGTCCTGAGAGAAAACCTGAACGATTTCCACTTCTACACAGCCTCGCTATTTATGTCAGTGGGTTGATTAATTAAGAAGCTGCAGTAACATGGCAGAAAGCTGGATCCACACATCTACACCCACTGACTCATCCGTCTAATGACCAGAAGGCCAGTTATAGGCTAAGCACACTCCAGCAATTCGAAGAAAGTGAGCCAGTAGAGACTGTGGAGACTGACAGAATAATCCATAATAAAGCCATTTAAATAGGAAACGATCTTGACTACAGGTATATTGATATTGCAGCACACAGCAGCCAAAAAGCTCTGCTCCTACAATACTGCAGGATGAGAGGCTCTTATAAACAGTCACACGTGTGAACACATACAGACATGTAAGCACACATGGATACTGACAAAACATGAAACGCACATTGATATGTACATAGCAAATAGGACAAACAGGACCACCTCACACACATACACACCCATGACACACAGGACTCTGCACTAAACACTGACCACTTATAATTTATTTATACTACCTCCTGCTCAGTTGCACAGCATTATGTTGCTCTTTCACTTTGCACATTTTGCACCTTGCACTTTACTTCCAACAATGCCATGTGTACATTGCACATTTCATATCTTCATTGTGTTTACAGTGTATATTTCATAGATGGATATTTTGTTATTTTTTTCTACAATATTGTTCTTTTATTTGACTGCTGTTTCTTATTACCTTATTGCTTCATGTGAGCGGGCAATTGTCCAAGCATTTCATGCATGTGTTAGGCCTAACAACAAAAGGTTTTAATATCCGTGCATTTATTTAGCCAACAAGGTGTTAGCTTTAGGTTTGGAGCAAATAAACAATGTCATTGTCTTTGTTGCCTATTGCATTAAAGAACAACTTTGGCTACTAACAATCCTTAGTCAATTTAGCTGACGGTTGTCAATTTCTCACTCATTAGTCAACAAAGCTATCGAGCCATAAAAACGGACAATGAACTAGAGGTTTGCTGATTCACAAAATTACTAATTTAGTTCAATGAAATACAGTTGTGTCTTGATTTGATACATTTTTTGATACAGCAAAAATAAGGGGTGACTGAAAATGTGCCATAGACTAATATGTTAATGTTTCAGTTTATTAGATCATTCAACAAAAAATACAATATTTGAAACTAAAGCTGTGCTTCATATTGTCTTAATATGTTAGTCAAGATTCAATAAGATATGCTGTGATACAATTCAACATAATATAATACATCTCTATTAGGAACAATGACTTGGATTGGTCGATTCCAGAAATTCTGGAATAAAACTAGACTCCAACAGTCGAAGACACGAGATGGGAATCGATGGAGTCCCAATTTCACACATACTTCTTAAGTGTGAACACAAGAAAGTTTGCCAGTAAGATTAAAGCAGCAATTTACCTGCATGAGCCCTAATATAATTATGCCTAAAATAACAAGATGTGTGAACAGAATCCAAAACAATTTGAGAAAAACAACAATCTCTTGATTATGGCTTTCAAAGCAGAACATTTCCATGACGCTTTTGTTTTTAAGGTGTTAAATTTTCAGATTTCACAGTGAAAAACATCTCAACCGCTCAGGATAAGTGGCAACATCCCTAGACCCTGCGTGGCTATGACTGTACATAAGAGATGCAGCACTACCAGCAAGTTGGAACATTATGGAAAGTTATTTTTGTTTTTTACCATATAGTAAACCATAGTTTTTCATATTGTCCAAAGTAAAATATAGCCAATCTAAGGATGTGTGAGTGGAAGGATGCATTCTCTGAAATCACAGAATCAACTCTTTTTGGGATTGACCTAGCTTTGCTTTGTTGACAAGCTTTATTCAGGGATAAATGCTTAAGTTACAGCTAGCTAGAAGACATAACAGGGCCTATAGCACAACAACTGTCTGCTTTCTATTGTTTTTACTATGTTTTTGCCTCTAGATCAGCAACATGTATTTCACTGGATTGTCTATGTGTCAATCACTGGAATTGCTGATGTCACATACAGACAATAATTGCTCATACTTCTGTAGTAGAACCACAATTGCTTAGGCCTGTGAGCCCTTTCCATTAGTAATACTTTATTGACAGAAAAAAGTGTCATCTTGCTATTGACCTTCAGCTTATGTCAGGTTGGAGTGTGAGAACTCCGGTCATGTTCTCCAGGATTACACCTCACAGCACATCATCATGTCTCAGCTGAGAAGGATGACAGGTCTGTGATTGGTTCGCTTGGCATTTAGTTAATGTTTCTAGTCACTCTCTCTCTAAAATGAGTTCCCCACACACACATTCCATGACTCACTGCTCACTTATCATTCACTCTCTAATGGACTCTCTGCTCAAAACTCCCATTTTTAACAGGTTGACACCTTGTGTCTTGTCGCTGAGTAATGAAATAGTCTTTTTACTACAACTAGATATTTGCACTTTGTTTCTATTAAAGAAGAAAAGGTCAGTTTCCTGTTTCCGAGCCCCACATCACTGATGAGACATGCTGAAAACCCTTCATTCAATCCAATTAAAGGCAGTTATTCTATATTTGTCCTGTTAAATCTGTCTTTTCATTAAAAGAATCCTCAACCTAATCTTTTTGTGCTGCAGTGCACAATCGATTACCATGGACAATAATTGGGATGATGTACTTAGAAGAGAAGAGAAAACCCAATGATTCAAAACATGCTTCTCTTCATTGTCACAAAATCTCATTTATCCAAAACGGCAAATTTTCAGAGCAAAGGAAAAAACATTATTCACCTATGTTAACTAACATTTATGTAAATGATTTTTTGATAAATTTGGTTTATTAGTGATTATTATTTCAGTCATAAACATAAGTAAAAATCACTAATAAGCAGTTATAGTACATGAATAAAAAGTACAATAGTGAGCTGTTATATGTGACGAATACGAACATGTTCAGTGTTAACTGATGGAAAAGACACAGTGAGATCAGTAACCAGCAACACCTGATCTTTAACACTGTAGATGAATGTTGCCTTTTTATTTATGTGCTATAACACATAAAAAAGTATAACAAGGTTTTGTCCCAACAGCGATATAATAACAGAAGCCAAGGGGCAGCTGCTAAATTCCATCAGTAATTTTTACGCAGTATATGAATTGCTTCTGGAATATTCCAGTAGTTGCTCTTTTCTGTCTCCAGATCTGTACAGTTAGATCTGTATCAAGAACTTGTTATCGGGAACTACTTTTGTCGCATATTTCATACTTTCATTCATGTGACGTCTACTATTAGGCCTGCCACAATTATTACATAACTGCCTGATCACAATTACTCAAGCTAACTGCAGTTATTTTCTATAATTTATACCTTTCACAATTATATGATCACACCAAAAACAAACAGTCCAAATTTGGTGTGCTTTCATCTGTTGGGCTGAGGCAAAAAAATAAAAAAAAAACAA